GGTCTAGAAGAAGGCTGTGAGCATTACAGTTCAGTACAGCTAGGTAAGGAGGGATTGAAAAGCCCATTAGCAGTGATCAGGGAAACCCAGGGACATGTCCTGTGAACCTGGCTATGGATGAAAAGATGCAGTTGTGTCTATGAGTAAGTATTGAAGTGCAGTTTTGAAGTCAAGGAGAGTGAACCCAAAACCAAACACAGGTAAATGGACTAGTTTCATTTGGGAAATTTGGTCGGCATGGAAAAGTTGGACCAAAGGATCTGAATCTTGAGAGGGGATTTCAAGATCAGATCAACAAAGTGAAGAATTGTAATCCTTGTGAAGTTTAATGAGAATTGATTATCCACCATATGATTATGATTGGGAGGGAGATTGTGGAAGTTCGCAGAAGTTCAAAATGAGTGAGTGAGTTACTGACAAATCCATAGGATCTGTCTTCATTGTACTTGCTATTTGATATGTGCTTTGCTGTGTTCAATCAAGGTATATTACCCATGTTTACATTATTTGAATGCTATAAATAAGTTGTACATATTGATTGATTATTGTTTGAACTTGTATGGTAAATGTTGTTTGTTCAAAACTGCAAAGTGTTGTGGCTTTATTCTCTTAGTAAGTTCCCTGGAATTCACCTTTTTTCTACATTAAAGATAAAGGCTATTGATCTGTAGCTAAATCTTACATGAAATTCACAGAGATCATTAGTGAACACAAAGTCAGTTTATAGATATAGCTAGCAATTAGGAAGACAAATAGCATAGAGAGTCATAGAATCCCTACAGTGTGGAAACAGGTGCTTTGGCCCAACAAGTCCACACCAACCCTCAGAGCATCCCACCCAGACCCATCCCCCTAATCTACACATCCCTGAACACTTTGGGCAATTTAGCATGGCCAATCCACCTAAACTGCACATCTTTGGACTGTGGGAGAAAACCGGAATACCTGGAGGAAACCCACGCAGACACGGGGAAGAATGTGCAAACTCCACACAGACAGTCACCCGAGGGTGGAATCAAACCCAGGCCCCTGGCACTGTGAAGCAGCAGTGCTAACCACTGAGCCACCGTGCTGCCCCAAATGTTGGCTTTTATTGCAAGGGGATTGGGAGTGCATGAATAAAAAAGTCTTGCTACAATTGTACAGCACTTTGGTGAGCCAACACTTTTAAATAATATTCACAAATTTGGTCTTCACAATTAAGGACTGATAAACTTGCATTGGAGGTTGTACAGTAAAAGTTACATTAGATTGGTCCTTTAGATGGGAGGCTTCTCCTATGATGTGAAGCTGAGTTACAAGATTCTAAAAGCATTTGACATGAAGAGATTATTTCCACTGGGGAATCTAAAATACAAAAGGTAATTTCTTAGGATAAGGCAATGATCATTTAGGACTGAAATGAGGAAACATTTCTTCACTCAAGCAGTTGAATACATTTAGTTGTCTTGGGACATTGAGAGATTTGGAGTAAGCATGGGAAAGTGGAGTTAAAGATCATGATAATATTGAACGGTAGAGTAAGCTTGAGAGGCCATATCATTTCCTGTTCCTACCTTATCTCTTCTTGTGGCTAAATCTCGTTTGTTGAGTTTAATGTTATATAGTTTTGTACATTTTTATCCTTATAAAGGGTGCTAACTGAGCAGAACAAATTTCTTACTGTGAGATCTTGACATCTAACATATACAGAAAAATAAATTACAATATATTAATGACAGAACTCTAGAACAGAATAAGATTAGGTTAACATTACAAAAATGAGAAGAACAACTCTGATTACAATAAAATAGAAAAAGCAAACACATTTATAGAATCAGTTTGAAATATTTGCACTGTTTAGAAGTGACAGATAGAAACTGTAAGATAGTCAAAGGTTTTGCATGTCATAGACTGAGTAGTAGTTTTGTTACAAAATCTTTATAAGTTGGCTAGGCAGAGGGAACTATCAAGCATGTAACAGCAAAAGCTAAAAGTAGAGCCTAATGGGCTGACTATATCCCAGAGAGAATATCACTGCACAAAGTGATGAAGAAGTTATATTTATACAGACAGCTGAGCCTCACAATTAATTCCCTACAGGACTGACTGCAGCTTATCATCCAAATTCAGGCACAGTACTTGGATGCAAGAAATACCACAGAAATCTATTTTTCTTTTGGTAATGTTAAATGCTTTATCCCTTCAAGACTTATTGAATGTCAGAAATTTCAAGAAAGCATTAAAAATATTCTCTAATTTATTACATCACTTATGTTTTATGGCTACCATGGTGGATCAGTGGTTAGCACTGCAGCGTCACAGTGCCAGGGACCTGGGTTCAATTCCACCCTTGGGCAACTGTCTGTGTGGAGTTTGCACATTCTCCTCATATCTGCATGGGTTTCCTCCCACAGTCAAAAATGCCCAAGTGCATTGGTCATGCTAAATTGCCCATAGTGCAGGCTAGGTGTGTTAGCCATGGGAATGTAAGGTTACAATGATAGGTAGGGGGATGGGTCTGGGTGGGATGCTGTTCAGATAGTAAGTGTGGACCTTTTGAGCTGAATGGCCTGTTTCCACACTGTAGGGGTTCTATGATCAAATCTTTAATTTGAGCAAACGAGATGTACATTTCCAGAACAGCAGTTTATATCAGCCATTTTCAGACAGTGGCATTTCCCACACCACTTCCCAAAAAACTGGTTAGCTCAGTAGACTGGTTTGCAATGCAGAGGGATGCCGACAGCATCTGTTCAAATCCTGCACCTCTGAGGTTACCATGAAGGGCTCCCTACTCAAAATCTTCCCTTGCCTGAGACATGGTGACCTTTAGGTTCAACCACCGCCAGTTGTATCTGTCTGCTGAAGAGAGCAGCCCTGTGGTCTGGTAAGATTACGGTGACTTTACCTTTACCTAAAGAGTTGGTGAGTAATGCAACCCCACCAACTACAGGAGCCATGCAGCCATACTTCAGGGTGTGCTAATTGACTGGAGATTAGACTTTCATCACTCACTCAGACAGAAGCTGCACCTCAGTAAGCTGCTGTCTACACAAATTGGCTGGCAGCTCTGTAGTCTCAGTAGTGCCAGTGGCACCAGTGGCCAAGATTGGGACTGCAAACTGTCTCCAGGTTCAGAGTCCTGGAATCTAGGAACAGGGTAAGGTGAGACAGAGTGATATGGGGTGCGGTCTCACAGTAGAGGAGGCCAGGTGAGGTCTGAGGGAAGAGAGTACCTAAAGGGTTGTGAGACAGCGGTAACTCGATGCAGGGCCCCTGATGTGGAAAGGTGTTCCATGAGTGAAAGTGCTCTGTTTGCTTCTGATTGAGGCCTGAGCAGAGTGACATACCAGGCTTCCCACGTGCTCCTGAACTCCTCCCAACTGCCTCAAAAGTGAGGCTCTCCGGAAAGTGATCAATAACAGGTCCTCAATCGAGCTGAAGGCATTTGTGTCTCCACAAAGACCTCCTAATCTCTTGCCCTATCTCTCCAATCTATGACATCCCAGTGGTGTCTGCAACAATAATTGAATATTTGTTTATGTCTTCATTCCTTCTTTGTTGTTTCCTGTCGTCTCACAATCCTCTTGATTAACACTGATTGTAATCATTCCACATAATTAGAGGCCATGGCTTCATCCTCCCATGCCCTCAGCCCTCACTGTCCCTCTACTTCTTTTTCTGAAAACTCTATCTTTTGTCACGCTTTTAGCTTGTCAGGCCTAGTATCACCTAACTTGACTTTGTGCTATATTTTGCTTGAAAGAGCTCTTGTGAGCCGTTTTAGTGGTAAAAGGAGGGCAATATGTAAATAGAAGCTTGGAGTAATGTCTGGTACATGTTTTCCACCACAACAGGCTTTCTTCATGGGACAGCAATGGATAGCTTTTGAATAGGGGCACAAAGCTTGGAAACAGAGCTAGGTGATTCAGGAAGCATTGAGACACCATATACTCTACAGTTGCCACTGCAGCTTAAAAAAAAGTTCTCATTGTGAGTTTGAGCAGCTGGAAGTATTTCCAGGAAATGTATGAGAGGAGCATGCTGACTATTTGGCACATGGTCTCTGATTGTTTAGAAATGTTGCCACAGAAAATTCACCATTTATTGAAGATAGGCACTTAACTGCAATATTTTGTTTGAATTTTAAACAATGCAGATTGAGTCTGTTTGGTCAAGCCAATTTTCTTTCAAGTCTCCAATAAGTTGTTTCTCAAAAATAAAAGAATGCTCATTCAAGGCAAAATATTGCCGGTGCTGGAAATCTGACAACACAATGCTGGAGAAACTCAGCAGAACTGGCAGCACCTGTGGAAAGAGAGAGAAAGACTTAATGTTTTGTGTCTGGTATGACTTTTTCAGAACTGAAAGAAGTGAGGAAATGTGATTTTTAAAAATACTTTTGACAGAAGCAGTGGGCCTGTGCAAAAGTAGAGATTGTCAATGGTATAGAATAAGAAATAGAGATGTGAAATATGTGAATGGGAGGAAAGGGGTCCTCCACCTAAATATTTTTTTAAAAACTAATTTTTCTAACATCTTTCAGTTCTGAAGAAGTCACCTCAGACTTGAACCGTTAACTGTGTTTCTCTCTCCATAAATTCTACCAGGCCAGCCGAGTTTCTCCAGCATTGTGGTTGTTAAAGACCCTGGACAGATTGTTGACGCCTCACCACTTCTTAAAGGCAACACAAAAATATCAATTACTAGAGAAACTCAGGAGATCTGGCAGTTTTTGTGGAGAGAAAAACAAAGGATTAAAAAGGCCACTGGAATGGAAACGTTAGGGTTGTTTTTCTCTGCAAAGACGCAGTCAAACCTGCTGAATTTTCACAACACTTTTTCTGATTTTTGTTTGTTTCAGATCACCAGCAGCCGCAGTTCTGAGTTATTGCATTAAAGCTACCGTGTCAGCTGCTACAAAGGTGCAGACTGCTCCTGTCCCAGCAGCAAAGTTTTTTTTCAGCCAAATCCCCGGGGAGTAAAACTTCTGACCAATCAGGAGACGCCTCCTGTGCGGCGGCCTGCTGCGTCGTGACGTCAGACGCCGGAACGCGCGGCGCGGTGACGTAAGACGCTCGCAACCCTCTACCTGCTGGCTCCTGTCTCCTGGAGAGAAGGATCCGTTGTTGGTCGTCATGGTCCCTCCGGTACAGGTCTCGCCCGTCATCAAGGTAAAGGGGGGTCCGGGGCTCTGGGAAAACCAGCCACGCTGGCCCCATTAGGGCCCGGGCGGCGAGCTGCTGTCTGGGGAGGTGCTACTGGCTGATGTCAGTGGACCCGGGGCCTAGTGGAGCCCGAGTTAAGGTCAAAGCAGGACCTTGGGCCGTGCGGTGGAAGGAGGGAGGGTTGGAGACTTTGCGTGAGAGTTTGGCGGGGTTGGGCAGGGGGTGGGATCGGCGGGCTGGAGCTGAGACAGGGATCGGCGGTGTAGTGCTTGGTGAGGGGTCGTTGGGGTTTGGGGTTGCCGGATGCGGGTGAGGGGGTCACCGGGTGTGGGTGAGGGGTCGGTGGCTTGATGGAGAGATGGGTGAAGGAAGAATTGGCATGTTCGTGTGGTGGTGAGGGCCCTGGGGCGGCATGAGGGGTATATGTTGGTGAGTGACTGAGTGTCTGAAGTAATGTTGGTTTGTTTTTATATATAATCTCGCGCGCCTTTAGGTATATCGTAGTATATTTCCAGCATTAATATCTTGTAGAAAATTAACTACTATAAATTTTCTGATTTGTACAGAGTGCTTTCAGTGCTGAAGGTCAATGATAGGAAAGGTTGTGATTTGGACATTAAGTTTGCATTTTAAGACCTTGTCCCCTCAAGTCCTGAAATAATGCAAAGTAACATTTTGAATTGTGAATTGTCTTCAATAATGCAGTCTTTAGACCCTTGAGCTGGTTTGCTAAAATAAACATCTAGCACTGTTGCAAACTGTTATTAATAGGTAAATTACAAGCAGTTTATATTTCTCAATTCTAGCTGCATCTCTTGTTGCACCTTGAATTGCAGATCATGACAGTTAGCACTTTTTTTTTTGGAAAAATAAAGTTCCATCTAACCTTTAACTGTTTTTGTGAAGTTTGTGGAATTGTTTATTGTCCATAAAATTTCCCATAGAAAATTAAGGCTAACAGTTATTAGCATAGTATTACTTTTAATGTTATTTCTTCCAAACAAATTGTGTGAGCTATTAAAAATATAGAGTGTCCTTTGCTCAGCTGGTGGATTTTTTTCTTTGCATGTCTTCTACCACAGTGCTAAATTTGCTCTCTCCCTTGTTCCTTTCTCGGTGTTTGATTTGACATTTCATTCACTTGCTGCAATTAACCTTCATTAGGTTGTTATTGGGAAAATGTTAGTGTTATGAAGGATGGAACAGCAGAATATTTCAAAGCAGATTGAGCAGGGTCAGCATGGCTTCATCAAGTTAAAATCATTTATTACAAATTTGCTAGAATTCTTTTGAGGAGAAAGCAAGCAGGATATGTGAAGAGAAAGCTGTGGATTTAATATTTTTGGGTCTTCAGAAGGTTTTTATTAAGATACCATGCATTGGGCTACATAATTAACTAATAGCCAATGATGTTGGGTGTAGTATGTTAACGTTGACAGAGGATTGGCTAAGTAATAGAGTTGGGATGAGGAGAACATTTTCAGGATGGTTACCTGTAACTAGTGTGCCATGGGGATCAGTGCTGAGGCCACAGTTATTTACAATATATGCTCATGACTTGAATGAGGAAGAGAATGTACTGTGGCTAAGTTTGAGGATGATACAAAATTAGATGGGAAGGCAAGTAATGAGGGTGACACATTCTGCAGATTGAGTGGGTGGGCAAAAACTTGGCAGGTGGGCTATAACGTGGGAAATATGATGTTATGCACTTCTGCATGAAGAATACAGAGCTGAATGCTATTTAATTGGAGAATGACTTCAGAAAGCTACTGTGTGAATCTCAAAAAGCCAGCATCCGAGTTCAAGTAATAGGGAAGGCAAATGAAATTACCTTTTTGTTTCAAAGGGAATGGTGTAAAGAAGTAGGCAGATTTTGCTAAAACTATACAAGGGAATGGTCAGACCGCAGCTGGAATACAGTTAAGTTTTGTTTCCTTATGGAAGGAAAGATATACTGGCAATGGAGGCAGAGAAGGTTCACTAGGTATTGAGGGACTGTCTTATGAAGAGGGAATGAGTAAGTTGTTCCTGTATTTGTTGGAATTTAGAATTATTGAAACATACAAGATTCTTAGGTACTTGACAGGGTAGATGCAGGAAGGTTATTTCTTGTGGGATAGTCTAGCACCAAAGGGCATAATCTCAGAATAAGACAGATGAGGAAAAAAGTTCTTGAAGATAGTGGATCAGTGGAATTCTTTACCACAGAGTGTTGTTTTGAGACTGGGTTGCTAAGTGTATTCAAGGCTGAGATAGACAGAATTTTAATCAGTAATGGAATCAAGGGTTATAGGGAAAAGCAGTAAAGTGGAGTTGAGGATTATCAGATCAACCATGATCACGTTGGTGGAGCAAGTTTGATGTGCTGAATAGCCTACTTCAATTCCTGTGTCTTATAGTTTATTTTTCAATCATTAAAATCTCGTTGGTCAAGGTCAAACAGATCAAATGAGTTCAGAGTTATTGTGGACACCGAAGGCAAGTTATATTTGAATAGTCTTTAGTGAGGATCCTCGAATGCCTGCAGTCCATCTCGTAGATGATACACACTGCTGCTACTGAGCTTTGGTGGTGGACTGACTGTTTGTGGATGTGGTACCAAACAGTCAAGCTGCTGTGTCCTAGATGATATCAAGCTCCTCAAGTGTTGGAGCTGCATTTGAGGCAAGCAAAGAGTATTCCATCGCATAGAGGATATAGATAGGCTTTGAAGAGTCAGGAGGGGAGTTACTTGCTACAGGATTCCAAGCCTCTGATCTGTTCTTGTACCCACAAAATTTATATGGCTAGTCCAGTTTTGTATTGCTTGCCCTGCTCACTTAGATCCTCGATGCCCTTTTTTTTCTCACCTCACTGCATCATTTGTAGCTTGTATTTTCAACAATTCTTGTGGGCAACGCATGTTTTGAGCTGAAATCTGACAAATAAGACACACTGAGATGTTCCATTGCAGCAAATCTTTGCCTATTGTGATGAAACACATACTGCTTTATCACTCCAGCCAGGAGTCTTTTTTTTTTTTCAGGACTGAAATGATGCTATTTCAGTAAACCTGTATTCCATTCTGTTACAGATGGCTAGGTATTCAGCATTGCTGGTTGGCATCTTCTATGGGAAGAAGCGATATGGTAAGAGTAAGAGATGATCTTGTCTTGAATGCAATATTGCAATTTTCTAAAGGCCTAGAACAAATTACTGACTTTTTCTAACCTGTCTGAAGAGTTCTCCAGTTAGCAATTAAAAGTTAATGCTAAATTTTGCCATATATCAGCTCTAACTGCACTTCCAACTAGTGACAATACCAGAAAATAATGATAATTGCATTTGAAAGTGTCAACAAATTAGAATTCCTTGGTAGCATACAAGCTGCAAATAATTTTTAATTACTCCAGTTCCTACAGAGACTTACTGATCTTTTTTTAAATTCTATAATGAAGATTATCTAAAGCCTATTGCTGAAGAGGAGAGGAGAATTGAGACTGAAGAGAAAAAGAAACGAGAGGAACTTGAACGCATTGCAAAACAGTTGGCAGAAGGTATTTGAAAAATAAATTATTCTGTGATGACAGGGAAACAATATTTTACGTATTTGGTGGCCAGTTAAGGAAAGTAAGTTAGTATGTAATGACGAATGTATCACATTCGAAAATCACATAGGAAAATAGCAAAAAGAGTACGTCATTCAGTCCTTGAACCTGTTCTACCTTTCCGTTATGTTCTGGATGATTTTACCTCAACTCCATTTACCCAACTTAACTCCATATATCCTGTCTCTCCTTGTCTAACAACGATCTAGTAGTTTCAATCTTCAACATTTTCTGTTGACAGCATCCAGAAGCTTTTTGGAAGCAAATTCCATTTTTCCATGCGCCGCCTTTCTAATTTTAAGTGCCATTTTTCTGGATGATTGCTATCACAGCTTTTACGCATCTAACCAGTCATTTTAAACACTCATATTATATCATCTCAACTTTCCAAACTTAAGATTCTAAAGACAAGTTTCATGCAATCCGTTGCACAAATTAACAGTTTAAGCCTAATTCTGTTGTATCTGCACTACAGCTGTTTTTAAGCTAGTACATCCTGAGATTTGAAGCCTCAAACTCAACCAGATTGGCTCACCAAAGCTTTGTACTAGTGAATTATCACTTCTCCCATTGCTTTTGGCCCTATACATCAATCTGTCTTTGCCACCAATTCCATCTGTTCCTGTCTATTACCGTGGTTTGAACCAGTCTGTTCATGATCTCGACATCCTATTTGATTCTGAGCTGAGCTTTATCCCCATAACCCCTCCATTTTGGAAGTTGGCTTACTTCCACCCTGTGTCAAGCCATCACATGCTGGAACCATTGTGCATGCTGTGTAATTTTCACCTAGTCCAAAACTTTGCTTTCCGTATCCTAGTTTGTACCAAATTCCGCTTAATCAGCACCCTGTCCAACTGACCTAAGCTGGTTCCCAAGTCTGTCTAAATTTGTAATTCTCTTTGGAATGTTCTCGGTCTCAGATCTTTTCGTGACCTCACCCCTTCTGTTTTCTTTTTCACCATTGCCAGCTTCACAGAGAATAGTGCATTCTTTCAACTTTGGCCTTTGGGACCATCTGTACTCCCTTCACCATGCCTTTGGTGACTTTAATTTCAGAAATCTTGGCCGTAAACTGAAAATCTGTCTCCAGCTTCCTCTCTCTCCAAGCTAAACATAATTATTCCTAAGAGCTGTCTTGACTCAACATTGATTTCTATCTGATATTGCTTTTGTGAAGCAGCTTGGGTTGTTATTCTATGTAAGAGTTGAACATTTCTAATCTTGTTTGTACTTGTAAAGTTTGAATCTGGCCCCAGCTAATGAAAGTCTCTTCAGTCTGATTATGCTGTTTTCCACAGCATTACACCGTACATCGGACTGTCATAGAATCGAGTACTGTCATGTCACATTCAAAAATGTGCCTGCTTGCACTGGACTAGAAAGAAGATAGTTTGTGTGGGGCAGGGGTTGGCACAGAATGGGTGGGATTTTGAAGAAAAGAAATTTTGTCCTGTATTTATCCAAGGAGATTTTACTTCTGCTTCTGAGCTTGGGAGGGACCTCTTCCAATGCTACCACCCCCTATACTGAACCTGAATTCATTCAAGTTCCATGTATATATGTACTGCATTGAGAACATACAAACTAATCTCTCATTTCAGCTAATGAAGACACTATTCTGAAATGATGACCACTTTAAAAAGTACAGATGAAGAATCCACGTGCTGCCCTTACAGTTTGCTAGTACGGACTTATCGGATGTATCTATTCAACACACAATTTGGGGTGTTTTTTCAATGTGAGAGAATAAATATTATTTGAACAACATAACAAATTGTCTTTTGTTAATTTCAATTCTTTGGCATCGACTGTGGAGAGGTTGATTTTAGTTCAATGAACTGTCAACAAGTTATCTATTGATGTATACTTTCAAATTTCAGGGCTGAGTCACTGACTGCAGATATGTTTGTCATCATTAAAGGCTTAAAGTTTGTTTTATAACAGTTTAGCTGTGAACTACAGACACTCTTCTGAATACCAACCAGTGTGTTCTGTTAACAAAGCCAAAATAAAATATTTTCAGTAATTTACCTTTGTTGAGTGTTAACTTTGTGTCAAACAAATCTACACATTAAACTCCTGGGAATACATGTGTTTTGTGCTACTGCCCTATCATAAACTATGTATTTTTATATCTCCCTCTTGTAAGACGCTATTTCAAAACCCAGCTCATTAACCAAGCTTTGTCAAATGCCTACTTGGACACAGAGTCCATTTTTATTGTTTGGCTCTCGGATGTGTCTTTGGATATTTCTAAGACAGAATATGAATGCAAGTTGCAGCAATTGCTGTATTCATTTAGAATGCAAAGAATACAAATTGAAATAAATGCTAGTCATATTTTGACATTAATGGCATTGCTCTCAATGTAAATTTGCTGGAGGTTTGACAGAAACCTTGTTTATGCAATGATTTCTGAAGTGTGATATTTGTGAAGCAGAACCTGCTCCAAAGCCATACCTGGCAGTATTCTTCCAAATCTTAATTTTCAGTCTTTTCTCCATGAACGAACACCCTACTTCCCTTCAAATAGTGTTCAACTTGTGTCCTCCTTTGCTCACTGCCAACCAATGGCACAAAGGTGTCTGCCATCCCACATTCTACCCTGCACAATAATCATTGTTCCCTTCATAAAACAAATAAGAACAGAAACAGAAGAAGGCTGATTCCCTTACACCTGCTGTACTACTCCACGAGATTTTAGCTCCACTTTCCTGCCTTCCCTCCATAACCTTTGTCTCAATCTAGCTTGGTCCTGAATGTATTCTCTGCCTCCTTTGCAGATTCTTTGAATGACACGGGGTCCTATATCGGATGCCTGTTGATTGTGAACTTGATCATTTGCCTCTGCCAAATTTTACTTAAGTATGTAGGTTATCTAGTGTATTGTTAGATGTACAGTCAATGTTCAGTCAAAGACCAGATTCTGTTTTAACCTTCAGCCTTCGCGTATGTTTGCATCACTCTCATCTATTTAAGAATCTAAATTATATTTAAGTGTAACAATGTACCAGCAAGTATTTGATATGTTTTAATCCCTTGTGATTGTGTATGGTGAATGTCTTCTTTCTAATCATGTCCAAACTTTTTCTCTGATGGGATGAAAATGTGTAATAGACAGTTCATGCATTTGCCTCTTCGTCCTGAAAGATGCCATCACTATGCAACTACTAATCAATTATTGCTGGATATTTTCTCTACGTAGATATATGGGGAAAAAGTCATAGGCAGCATTGAGTTTGCTGAAGCTGTATGTTATTTGATTGGTTCAGTCTGATTCCTCAAAGTTGAGAGTCCAACAAGACTGATTACAGTGGATCCCAAATCACTAATGCTCTGGGATTAGTTCAAGTACTGTACTGGGATAGGAGATGTGACAGTCAATTTGAGCACAGAGGTTCCATAAGCAACAATGAGGTAATTGACCAAGATGTGTTGGTGATGTTGGTTGGGTGATAAATATTGGCATGAACACCACAAAGAATACTTTGTTGTTCAAATGATGCCATGGATCCTTTATCTTTACCAACCTGGAATAGATAAAGCCTTGACTTAACATTGTATCTGAAAGATGACTCCTCCCTTAGGTCCCAAGTGCAAAACTTCCTGAGTACAGCATTGAAGTGTCAGCTTGGATGAAATGATGTATCTCTGCCGCAGGTTTTAGAATCTGAACACTTCTGACACACAAAAGTGCTGCCCGCTGAGTAAAGACTGACAATTATTCCTTTGTAGATAACAAAACAGCTTGGCATGGTGGATCTGTGGAATATTGGGTTCACAGGCACCTTGAGCTAATCTCAAAAATATGAGCTGTGATATTGAAAGTTAATTGTGTGTCGTAGATAGATTAATTAGTTTTAAGTACATTTAAAGGATGCTTTTTCCATTAATATAGGTCAACAATATATTGAACCAGATTTTACAATCAGCAGTGAAGGCATGCAGCCCAACAGGAGTCTCTCCAAGTTATCTTTCTTAGCATCATGGTACTAATCATGCAAAAACTGCTCCAGTGGATGGGACATGTTGTTCATTTGACTGAGATCAAGTTTCTGAAACAACTGCTCTGCTCAACTCCATTATGGCATGAGATTCCCAAGAACGCAGAAGAAATAATTTTGGGATGTCTTCAAAGCACAACTGAAGAGGTCATACATACCGACCAATTCATGGGTGTCCTGGCCTATGATTCACCAAAATGGAGTAGGTTCATTTGGGGAAGGCACCAAGTACAGTGAGGGAGTTCGTTGAGAATGTGAAAAGACAGAGTCAAGGCATCCACACAAGCCTCCGAGCAAGCCACTTCCCCAAACTTTCAAGCGCTGCCTGCCCAACGTGTCAGAGTCTGCAAGTCACACATTGCATTTACCAGCCTTCTTACATCAGACTGATTTGGAGTGAAAGCTACAAGTTGATTTGTAGCAATTTTCTTTGAGTTGCCTTTTTGGACTCGTACTCCTGTAAGTCTGCATCATTTTAAACTGATATTTGTGTTCTCGCTGCTTCTCTTGTTTCGTTATATTTCCCTTCGCAATTCTAATTCTAGTTCTCTCATTTTCCTTTCTTTGTTTTTTTTCTGCTTTTCCTTTGGAATTCCATCTCCAGTTGTTTTTAAATTTCAAGTTACTTTAATCATATATCACAGTGGCACAGTGGTGAGCACTACTGCCACAGTGCCAGGGACCAGGGTTCAATTCCACCCTCAGGCGACTGTGTGGAGTTTGCACGTTCCCTCCCTGTCTGCATGGGTTTCCTCCCACAGGGGGATGGGTCTGGGTGGGATGCTGCAAGGGTCGGTGTGGACTTGATGGGCCGAAGGGCCTGTTTCCACACTGTAGGGATTCTATTAAAAAAAAAATGTGCTGGTTAGGTGGATTGGCCATGCTAAATTCCCCATAGTGTTCAGGGATGTGTGGATTAGGTGGGTTATGAGGGGGATGGGTCTGGGTGGGATGCTCTGAGGGTTGATGTGGACTCGTTGGGCCAAAGGGCCTGTTTCCACACTGTAGGGATTCTATGATTAATCAACATTACCTCATTTCACAAATCAGGCGTACCTGCTTCCTCTTGTACATCTACTGAACCCAAATATACTGCTAGTACTTCAATTATGTCTGTCTTCCTAGCTTTAGCGGGCAAATTTACTTGCCATTTCTACCAACCTGGCCTTTATGGTTTCACTGAAATCTGTCAGGGATGACTGCCACCTTCAGGGAGTTCTTTGCAATTTCAAGTGTCATTTCTTACTTTCAGTGCAGAACCTGTTTTTTCCTTTACCTTTATTACTTATTAATACCACAATCAAACACTCATCATCTAAGATGAGTCCCCAAACCACAAATGTTAGGATTTAATCAAAGTATTCAAAGTCCCCAATTTATTTGACTAATGGATTCAGAGTGACAGAACACACTGACAAGGCTCCCATTCCTGGCAAGAAACTAGTAGTTGCCACAAATAAATAAGATCTAGCTATGGGTAAATGAAACTTTGAACTACTAACATTTAACTCTACTAGTGGAACTCTAACCCCTTTTTAAAACCCTTAAACACACAGACAAACAACAGAAATATTTACCTGCACTTCACTGAATCTAGTCTACCATATTTGCTGTTCACAATTCATCTCCCCTATGGTGGGAAGACAAAATGCAGACTGGGTGACTGCTTTGCAGAACACCTATATTATGTTGGTAGAAATTAACTCCAAGCTTCCAGCTGCTTGCCACTTCAAAACACCACTGTGTTCCCATGCCAACATTTCTGTCTCAGACCTACTGCAGTACTCCAGTGAGGCTCAACACAATTTGGAGGAACAACACCTCATCTTCTACTTGGGGACCTTAAACTCTTGGGGACTCAATATCAAGTTGAACAATTTTACAGCATGAAAACCTCCATCCATGTCTATTACCCATTCCCATACCCCAGGTCCAGTCATTACATGGATTGCTTCCAGTACAATCAACCTCTTAACCCCCATTATCACCTTAACTTCTCCTCTGGCTTACTGTCAAAAATCCATTTGACTGCCTAACATTTTCTTTCTCTCACTTTCTCTGGGCTCTGTCTCCACCTAACTACTTACTCCTTCTCTCCCCAGCCCTCATCATCAGCATAATTACTACCTTTTCCTCGCTGCTATCAGTTCTCCAGTAATTTCTGATTTTGTTTATTTCAGATCTGAAGTATCTGCAGTTTTTTTAAGGGTTTTATTTAAAAGTATTGGTATTATGAGTGGAGGAAAATGTACTGGGGAGAAATGGTTTTATGCACTCATTGGATCACTGACAAGGCCAGCATTTATTGTTGATTCTTAAGGCTCTGAGCAAGTAGAGCTGAACTGCCTTTGTGAACTCTCACTGTCAATGAGGTGAATTTACTCCAGAGTAGGGAATTCCAGGACTTTTCACCAAGCAAAGATGAAAGAACAGTGATGTAATATTTGAACCTTCAGCTTTATTAATTTTCTACTTAAGACTAAGAAGGCCTGCAATGTGTAACTTTTAACCATATTTTGTATGTTTTATACTATACTATAATTACTGCAATGTCTAAGTTCTAACTTTTGTTCTTTGTTTATAATTTGTTCCTAAGATTCCATACCTAGATACTTGTACCTAAGATGGCACCTTGTGTGGTGACATTGTACACTTTTCACTGTATGCCTGTACTTTTGTACTTGAGCACACATGACAATAAAATCAAAATCAAATATTTTTCCTGGTCAAGGTGATGTGTGACTTCGAGGCAGGCAGTGCTGTTCCTATGTGCCTGTTGCCTTTGTTTCTCTAGCTGGTAAAGGTTGCAGTTTGGGAGGCGCAGTTAATGAAGATTTTGCAAATTGCTGTAGTACACCTTGTTCAACAGATGAAGGAAAAGTACTGTGATCTCAAGATAAACCCCGAGAATTAGGTCAAGCAGAGCTTAAAATCGCTCAGCAATTGTACTTGGATAAATTTAACCACACAGATGGAAATAGCTGGGAAGGTGAAATGCGTAAAACTATTAGATACTGCAGCTTACA